CAGTCCACATATGACTGATCATGTTTTGACTTAAATAACATAATTATGCAATAAACATTCGTGACTTGCCGGTTAGAAACTGAAGTTACTCGGAGGGAGCTTATATGGCATCTCCGAGGTCATTTTGCTAAAGAACTTGGACCGAAAAACATGACATCGACATGATCTTGTTATTATGAACTTAACTATATAAAAAGAAGGTAATTAGGGGTATACCCTTCAGTTCGGTCGAGGATTGCACGATGACTTGCGTGTGGATGTAGTGCTTAAACGCGTGCGCATTAACTCCCTTCGTGCTTCCGCCTCCTTTAGCTATTTTTGTACTATTTTTCCACAATATTTCCTTACTATTTTTCTCTCTATTTCTTGATGAAGAGAACTTGGTTTTGCATGAGGAAAATGCATAAGAACTTACCTTGCACGTACGGTAATTTATGGGAGTGAAAACCGAAGGTGAAAGGGAAGTTAAAGAGGTGATGGATGATGCACTCTCCCCTTAACGCCAAGTGTTCTACACGTGTGCTGAGGTGGGACACTTGAGCATAGTCATAGCCGAGGTGGCGGCCATGCACGGGCTTAGTCATCGCCCGTGTGTCCGTGGCGCGCCATGTGTGCAAGCACATAGGTGAGTCATAGGCACAACTTGCACCCAAACTCTTTCCTTTGAAAATTCTTCACGGCAACTTGAAAGCTTAAAGTTTGGATTACTTAACCTTGATCATAGGGCTTAAAGGATCATAAGCGCGTGCTTAAGGCGCTTGACGGTGCGCGCGATGCGTGGTGCGCGACAATGCACGCGGTGCGCATTTGCGTGCGTGGTCGTATGCACGGCATGCGTATACGCGTGCGTGCTAAGTGCTGCTTAGTACATTCATGACTTAATATGACTTTGACATTAAATTCCGAACGTGCTAAACTATTAATAATTAATCCCGATTAATAACATCCGTTTATAAAATAAACGGTTCGAAAATTAATTATCGAATTTGACTCGGTTAATAATTAACCGGATAAACTTTTTTTTGACTTAACGTCGAACTTATTTGCTGAAAATGAACGGAATTAATGAAAGGTAATACATTATTTATATTAACAAAAGGTTGGGTTATCACAATCTACCCTCCTTAAAATATTTCCGTCCTCGGAAATATAAAACAAAACATATATACATGAAAATATACATATCAAAACTGAAAGTCGGGAAAACGAGCGCGAATGTCAGCCTCCTGCTCCCAAGTGGCTCCGTGGCGATCCCACTGTATACGAACGAGGGGAACATTACGCTTCCAGAGGCGTCGAACCTGTCGGTCCAACACAGCTACCGGTCGCTCCTCGTAAGATAAGTCTGGATGAATCTCAATATCAGTATGAAGAATGAGATGATCGGGGTCGCACACGTACTTGCGTAACATAGATACATGAAAGACATTGTGAACACTGGATAGCTCGGGAGGTAAGGCTAAACGATACGCAACATCGCCCACTCGATCGAGTACTTCGAACGGGCCAATAAACCGAGGGTGTAACTTCCCTCTCTTCCCGAATCGAATAACTCCGCGAAATGGACTAACCCTGAGAAAAGCGTGCTCGCCAACCTCGAACTGAATATCTCGTCCATGATGATCGGCGGTTGATTTCATTCTGCTCTGGGCTGTTCTGAGTCTTTGCCGGATCAACTCGACTTGCTCGGCTGTCTCCTCGATTAGCTTCGGACCGAGTGCTCGACGTTCTCCGACGTTGTCCCAATAAAGAGGGGAATGACATTTACGACCGTATAGTGCCTCATAAGGAGCCATCTGAATAGAAGAGTGATAGCTGTTGTTGTACACAAACTCGATATACGGCAACAAAGACTCCTATTTAGCACCCCTGTCGACAGTCACAGCACGTAACATATCTTCCAACGTCTGTATAGTCCGCTCCGTCTATCCGTCAGTCTCGGGATGGTAGGCTGAACTGAAAG